GATAGAGAATGAACGGATCGGCAGGTCATTATTGTCTTAGAAGCTTGTTTCTCCAGAAGAACGATCGGCAACACTTTGTCAAATATTGGAGATTTAGGATATTGAAAGTCTGTCTAATTAGATCGTGCGCATCCGACAAGCTGATGTTTGGTCCTACATGCCCAACTGTAGGTCAGATTTTCTGTTAGATACTTAAATTTGTAAATAAATTGTCTCACTCTGCAGTCAGGTGTCACATTCTAGTGGTCGGATCACAACAAGTCGGAAGAAATAGGAGTGGCCTTCTCGAAGATTGGGGGTTGTTTCAGCTTGGTCTCAATTCTAAAGTCAAACTTCAAAACTGACTTGAGCGTCTGAGTGTTTATACTCTGGTGCAAATCCTTTCTTATCAAACAGTTTTCCAGCTCGCTCTGGTTTATTCAGTTCCACCAATCAGCCTACAGGTCGACCTTGACCGATATTTGTTGCACTAACGGTGATAGTTTACTTGAGATTAAGAGGTCGAGTTCGTCTATAATTGACATTGCGTGAGTTTATTTATGGTCATTATCAATCTGAGCATAATTGAAATGAATTGGTTAAAGACATTAATTAACAACATAAGGTTAAAATTCTTTTATATTCTAAAAGAATTATGAATTGGTTATTAGGGTAAAATTTTGTCCCATTTTTGTCTGAGTTGGGACTGTCAATTTTTTCCAAAAGAAAATGATAGTACACCTGAGCCATGTATATGAACTATTTCTCTTTTACACAAAATTATATAACTAAAGTTATTTTAATTTTAAACCCAAAAGAGAGATGGTGGGCCCACTTTTACTATGCATATGAACTATGTTAAACATAACAACCTAATTCAATAGCAAATTAAATTGGTTTCCTTAAGTAAATAATTAAATATGCAATATTTCAATGTTTATAAATATAATAATGTAACCCTGCATTTTATTTCTAGTTTGAAATTTAAATTTTCACTATTTGGACATAAAATCTTAAAATTGTTTTAAAAAATAAATCTGTCACCAGAATTTATTTTATTCGRTCTTTCTGAATTGTATACCAAACAAAGTTGTTAGAAATTTACTATAAATTTTTCAAAAGCATAAAGACCAAACTAGTACAAGTGCTAAACTCATCATATATATTTAATAGTATAGACTACAAAACAAAGTATTTGTCAGTAAAAATGTAGGAACATCTGAGAGATAAGATTTTAGGGTACAAAAACAAAAAATCAAAATCAAAATTTAAGAATCAAATAAGAACTAGAAAAAAAAAAGTGGACGTAAAGGCTTCGAACTCACCTCTCGAATTCAAATTTGATCTCCTACCCTACTTCACAAGCAGCAGCTAATTCAGTATTCTATTTAAGGTAGAATTGACCTACAAATTATTATCGTGAGGATTGAGCTCGCAAAAGAGATTCTCCTCTTTTTGTTAGAAACCTTTTTATCGGACATAAATATCTTAACTCGTTAGACTATTTTTTGATTGACCGAAAATGTGACGGGATAGGAAGTGGCTCAGTGACCCATGACCATATATATCATAATGACAGAGAATTGACATATGACATGATTTGATGTGCATTTGAATTTCTTACCATTATGGTACCATCTTAATGAAATAACTTCTTTTCTTCACTGCCAACTAACCATGTCCCCTTCCCTCTCTACTTCCTACCACTCATTTTTTTTCTTTGCTTTTTTTAATTCTTGTGGAATTAGAATACTTTTAACTTTGTTTTAATGGGTACCTCTACTTTTGGTTTTGACGTTCATGTTAAATTATGATAGAAAGAAATGAGATTAAAAATGAAAATAAATGGACAAAAATAATTATTTTTTAAAAGTACAAAGACTAAAATGGACGTTTCGGAAGTTGAAAATATAGTGTCTAAAATAAACAAAAATCAAAAGTACATGAACGAAGGGGACTAAAATAGGAGCGGAAGATTTGAAAGTTTCAGGCTTAGAACTTACAGAGCACTTTTCTCTGGTTTTTAGGGGTAAAATTGGGAGAAATAATGAAATGAAAGTGGAGGGAATAGCAAAGAAGATTAACTCAAAAAAAAATTTGAAAAGAGAGAATATTTGGCTAATGGGTTTTGTGTGTTTAGACATAAAGTGGGTGTTAGTCTAATCAAAATAGCACAAAATTCATCAATTTGAAGGGACAAGAATCTCAAAACTCCCACATTTGAGAACTCGGTTCCATTGACACGCCAATCATTGAGTTGACTCGTTCCCCAACTCACAAACAACTCCTAATGAATCCCAAACATCCCACATTTAACCTTAACTTCCCAATCTTCTTGCTCCCAACCATGGGTGACAGAATCTTTCAATTATTTCCATTACGACCCCTCCAGTTTTATTTGTTTCCAAACTTTTCTCTCTTCTCTTTTCTTTCCAGTCCCTACACTTGTCACTCTCACTCTAATTCAACCCCTATGCCAAAGGAAACATGTTTATCTAACATTGTCCTAAAAATTTAAAATGCTTTTCCGAAGATGTTTTTGAATATTCTCCACTCAAATTTTTTTTATGAAACCATACAGTATTTTAGGTGATACCATCGTATCCATTATATTTCTGCACAATATCTCGCCAACGTAAACTTAACTCAGCCAAAGCCTCATAATCTTTACTTTTTTATCTCAACTTTGAGGAAACACACAGATGAGTTTACAAAAGAATGTATTATGGACACAAAATTAGTTAATAAGAAATTAGTGTGAGAGATAGAAAAGCTCAAGGGAGTTGAGATTTCCAATAGATTATATAACCAAACACAACATTAGTTTCTAAAAATATTTTCAATGGTTTGGAAGATAGAACTGAGTTCATCATTCACAAGAACCAAATGGAGGGAAGGGATTCAGTAATGCCCGAAGAGCAATCTTATGGTGTCCTAAATTCTCCATTTTAAAGCAGTAAAGGAAATAAACAACTGAAGTCTACATTATAGGCAAGTATCACTACCCAAGGGGGGCCATGAAGCCAAGTTTGGGACCAAACAGCCCTCCAACTTAAGGCTCCTCCTCCCCCACAGATCTTTATATGGGAAACGGGACACAAATTTGCGGTGCTAGAGAAGAGGGAGAAATGTTCTAAACATACATGACATATACGAACCTAGTTGTAAAGATCGTCATCGTCAGCTCCGCCAGCAGAAGTTGCAAACGGGTCAGCAGCCGCAGTTCCTGAAGTGTTTTCTGAGAACCTGAATTCGGAACCGAACCCTCTTGACTGCTGCAGTGTTTGGGCAAATGCTTGGTATTTACGAATGTCGGCGTCGCTCACACTTCTACGAGCAAACTTCATCGACTCCTCGAAATGAGCAGCCTTAATCTCTGCTACCTCATCTTCTACATCATCCTCTTCCATAGCCTCAGGATTATCTCTTCTCCTCCTCTCCCTCTCAATATCCTGCAAAACAGAATTTCTTTGAATACGTGCATAACTGAAAACATATATGATATAACAGTTCAAAATCAAAGTGCAGAATTTTACTTTCTCAATATTCTCTCTGATAGCATATTTGCAGGCACGCTGGCAGATTTCTGTAATATCGGCACCACTAAAGCCTTGAGTGTACTTAGCAAGGGCTCTAAGGTCTACATCTTTTGATACTGGCGACTTCCTCAAGCAAGCCTTGAAAATTTGGTGACGAGAATCCTCATCGGGGAGCGGAATATAAATCAATTGATCAAGACGTCCTGGACGAAGAAGCGCAGGATCTATAATATCTGGTCTGTTGGTGGCCCCAATTATAAAGACAGTTTTCTTTGCTGACATTCCGTCCATTTCCGTCAGAAGTTGGTTCAGAACTCGATCAGCAGCACCTCCAGCATCTCCCACGCTGCTGCCTCTCTGCAGATAATTTAGCATAAAAAGGTAAAAACAGATTTGCAAGAAACAATTTAGCCTAAAGGACCAATTGCCCCATTCTGGGAAACTGGAAATGTATAATAGAAACAGAATTTCCCTCATGTTGGAGTTCTCTTCCACATCGTTAGATTTGTCAATTAATGATTTTCAGCAACTATAGATCTAAATGAGAATGGCTTGCACACAATAATATTGAAGAGCTCCACAAGGATGGCTTACCTGAGTGGCAATAGAGTCAAGCTCGTCAAAGAACAGAACACAAGGTGCAGACTGACGCGCCTTGTCAAAAATTTCCCGAACATTGGCCTCACTTTCTCCAAACCACATTGTAAGCAATTCGGGACCCTTGACACTGATGAAGTTTGCCTGGCACTCATTCGCAATAGCTTTGGCCAGAAGGGTTTTTCCACATCCAGGAGGGCCATAGAAAAGAACTCCCTTTGAGGGTGACATTCCAAATTTCTCAAACTTCTCGGGATGTTCCACTGGATATTGTACAGTCTGATTTAGAAACAGAATCAAATCAGATCAGAAAAATAAACAAGTAAACGAACACAGTCTCCTCCAAGCCGAGGATATTAATCTGCAGCAGCATCAATTACCTCTTGAAGTTCCCTCTTGACATTCTCAAGACCTCCAATATCTTCCCAGCTGACGTTGGGCACTTCAACAACCTGGTACAAAACAATTTAATCAAAATGCAGTAACCAACAGACATCAAAAGGAAAACCGCAGTTATTGCCACTTGATCCAAAATAACACAAGCACCAAGCACGTACAGTTTCACGTAGAGCAGATGGGTTACTAGTTCCCAGAGCAGTCGAGAAGTGCTCATTTGTAACAGCCATTGAGTTAAGAATCTCAGCATCTATTGTTTCATCTTCCAAATCAATCACATCCATTTTCTCTCTAATGCATTGAAGTGCAGCCTCGGTACAAAGAGCTGCCAGGTCAGCTCCAACATACCCATGCGTTTCCTTGGCAATTTTTTCTAGGTCAACCTGTAATATCCAACATACAAGAACCAGTGCATTTCGTTGATGATGCAGCAACCAACAAGAAGCAAAGGAAATAATAAATAAATAGATACAATTGAAATCTTACATCTTCAGCAAGCTTCATGTTCTTAGTATGTATACGGAGAACCTCAAGACGCCCAACTTCATCAGGCACTCCAATATCTATTTCCCTGTCAAATCGTCCAAATCGTCTCAAAGCTGGATCAATGCTGTTTGGACGATTTGTAGCTCCAATAACAATGACATGGGCACGGGATTTCAATCCATCCATAAGTGTCAAGAGCTGAGAAACAATCCTTCTCTCGACTTCTCCATGAGTCTTTTCACGCTTAGGAGCAATTGAATCAATCTCATCAATAAAGATAATTGATGGAGCATTCTTTTCTGCCTCCTCAAAAGCTTTCCTAAGATTGCTTTCACTTTCTCCAGCTAACTTTGACATAATTTCTGGTCCATTGATACAGAAAAAGAAAGCCCCAGTTTCATTAGCCACAGCTCTGGCAATCAGGGTCTTTCCAGATCCAGGGGGGCCATAAAGCAGAATTCCCTTGGGTGGCTTTACTCCAATGGATTTAAAAAGCTGTGGATGTCTCAGTGGCAGTTCCACCAATTCACGGATTTGTGCCATTTGTTTTCTAACACCACCAACGTCATCGTAACCAACCTCGTCTAATCTATCTTCATCCTCTCTTTTCACAGGCTCCCCATCACAGAAGATTTCAGTGTCAGGGGCAACCACACAATATTCAGGAGGATCAGTCTCAATGACCTTGAACTCCACACTTCTCATTCCTCCCCTCACAAGGAAGAGATCGCCCTTCCTCACCGGACGATAGGCCTCCAAGAAATAGGCTGCATGATATGAACAGTGTAAGAATTAAGAAACATGCAAACTTCAAATAATGTATAGGACAAAACCTATACTTAACATTGACCCAAGGCTTAACATGCAGATCTCTCTAAAGACATGTACCACAAACACACAAATATAAACATATTATTAGTTAGGAAAGCACATCAAAAGTTTTGAAGATCAAGGACAACCATCCTACAGCTGCGGCTAAACAGTGTCCTTTAACAACCATTACATGCATGTGTAATGGTTGGGATCCAACTCACTTGATACCAGATTTGAAGTGTCATGTGGGTGAACTTGTTTCTATTCATAAATGTAAAAGAGAAAAGAGAAAAGACACATTTGAATGCAAACAAAGGGTTGGGAAAGACAGATTTGGTTTACACCATATTTTAAATGTATGAAGGAACTTGTTCAAGATTGAGAAGAACAATAAAACACAAAAAGCTTCCAAAATCAGTATTAGTGATAAAAAGCTGCTTCCCAGCAATGTATTGCATGCCAATGATAAAAATAAAAGGAAGCATGAGTAACTATTGAATAGAACTTATAAGAATTGTATACACACAAAGTACATAAGAGGACTTGCGATAATAAGTATCACAAGTCACAACCAAAATGAATCCCCAATCCAAATGTCTGAACAAGGCCAGATGATGGAGAAGTTACCACATGAGCATTACTTTAAAAAAATGAACTGAAAGAAAATAACTCCTGATCAACCATACACTAAATTGGGAAAGGGGAGGGATCAAATGAACATCTCAATGCATTACCAGACATGATATCATCATAGATTAGTGATTAGTCAAATACACCCAGAGATTAATCAGGTTTTAAGGGAATGATAAAGGTTAGGGATAGAATCTCACGTTTCAAGTATGCATCAAAAAGATTCCCTGTAACACCTTCAATAGTGTCATCTACTGGAAGAATGTGCACCCGCTTTCCATACTTAACATCAGCACATTGATGCACGGAAACAACATCTCCAAGCCTAACCCTCAGGTTGCTTCTCACAACCTTGTTCATTCTTATTTTTGGCTCATCACACGTGTCATCAGCAAGAGCAATGCAGATTGTATCCTTCCTTTTCTTCCCCTGAACTCCAGAAGGAAGAAAAACAATACAGATACAAACAAAAATATTGTGAGTAATTCACGAATGACCTCGAGCTGTGGGTATGAAAACTGTATTTTTCTCTTGGAAAAAATTTATTAAAATCCAAAATGAACAAGAGGAAAGTTGAATAATAAAACATCTATCCCCTCCATGGACAAAGGAGATTTTAAAATCTAAATGGCTCGAGTCTTTTTTTTAGAAAAGAAAATGGCTCGAGTCATAAAAAGGGAAATAATTCTAAAGGCCTTTAGACGTTATCTGCCAACTAGAAGCTAGAAAAATAAACCCAAGGGTTGTCCAAAACCTGTTTTCAGACCATCTAGTTCTTTAGGACAAAAATTATAATGGTTGTTATATCTTCCAAAATTGCAGATTTGTCCATGTGCATTGTAGCATTCACTTTATAAATCATCCAATCACAATTTTCAAAAACAGTTCTGAAAACAAAACAAAAAAATACTTTCATAACACCAAACAGCCCTCAAGATTCTCAACATATAAAAAAAAATTCCTATACTTTCCACCAAAAAACCTACAATTCCTCTGGGCCAAATTTTAAAAATATTATTTCAACTGAATATAATCCTACTGTACATGCATAGAGTAATAACTTGACTTGACCATACATTCTGATTTCTGAGAAATATTGAAAGTAAACTACTAAAGACACCATAAAGATATTGCCTCTATAGATGAGCAGGAAGCCACAGGCTAGAACTAATAATTAATATTTCAAAAGTTGGTTGAGTAAGGCATAATGTCTCGGTGTGTCTTCTGGAGGGCTTGCAACTCACTTAAAAAGAGGCCTATGCTTTGTATGGTAAAAATCAACCCACTGGAAAAAGACAAACCAAACTTTTCACAAACAAAGAGAGGTCACGACAAATTAAAGAAGCCTTCCACCCTCCAACCTCCTTGCAAAGTTATCTCCACACTCTCTTTCAAATCTGATTTTTTAATCATGGTAATAATGTTGAGAACGTCTTTCAGAATCTTTTCCTCAAGGAAAAGTAAGAAATAATTGATAAGCAAGGGAGATTTTCTTTTTCCATTTTTTCTAATTAGCTATAACTGTTAGTTTAATATGATCATTACGTTATCACAACTATTCACAAGTTGCACTCGGTCTACAGAAGCAATGGTGCAAATAGTCAGTGTAAATCCAATTCAGAGGAAAAACACAATTCTACCTATCCAAAGCAACACAGCTGAGAGCAACATCAAAAGCAATGCACTGACCACCCTGTAATCTAATTTGGTGGGTGGAGAGAGGGAGAGAGAGAGAGAGAGAGAGAGAGAGAGAGAGAGAGAGAGAGAGAGAGAGCGCGTGTGTGTGTACGGTTAAGACAAAAGGGGCATTAGAGTAAGGATTTTGGATTGATACGTATGGTTTTCGTAATTGAAGCTATAATTGACATGTGACTTTAATTATTACAGGCCGCTAACTAGCATATCCCTTGGCCTCTTCTGAAGCTCGATCCAAGCCAATTATGGAAGGTTCACGTGAGCCGCACATGTGTGTGTAGTACAGGCCGCTAACTCACAAGTTGAAATAATGAACTTACAAGTTTTTGAAACTTATCTTCTAGGCTACACAACTTCTCCAAATCTCAAATTCCAAACTCACAACTCAAATATAAGCTACATAAAATTCTAAAACTCGTTCATTTCCAGAATCCAACCACGAGCTATGTAAACTCAACCCAAGCCTCATAACAACCAGAGTCCACGAAATCAAACTTCGCAAACTCGTGAAGCAAATGCCGCCCAGAAGACCTAATAAAAAATATACTAAATTCCAACTTGAGCCACCAATTAGTCGAAAATAAAAAAAGATTCACACTAACCAAAACGGGAAGTACAAATCTCCCCGATCCTACACAATTTAGTGAAGTCAATTAGGGCAAATCATTTACAGAAAACTACCCCGATGAACGATAAACATGTCAGATAAATGATAATGATAAACAACAACAGAGTAAACACCAGACCTTGATCAGGATCGTGTCGCCACGGAATAGTTGAAGCTTCTCCATAGTGTCAGGGTGAAGCGCAACCACCGAGTTGTCATCATTGATAGCCTCATCGACAACTAGCCGGTTCGCCGCTTTCTTGCGCTCCAAAATCGCGGTGCTAAAATCCCTCTTGGTGCCCTTACTGCGACAAAATAGAAGCGCAATGAAATGAAGAATCAAACGACAAGCGCACAATCAGAAGGGAAAACAATCATCGGAAGAACAGGAAGTGAGAAACGGCGAAGAAGAAGAAGAATTAGAATGGGGATCGGGGAAATTGGGAGTAGGGCTTACGAGTCGGAAGATTCAGGCTGATTAGCCATGGTGGACGGCGGAGCAGAAGAGAGGAGACGACTGAGGTGTTGGAAGAGACAATAAAATCAAGGGAAATGGCGATAGAATGATGAAAATGGGGAGAGATCTGAGCCGAGAGAGAAGTTGGGATATGATATTTATTCCCAAGCCTCGCTCCTTTTCTTGTTTACAAAGAAATGCTTTATTGTTTTTTTCCTTTTTCTTTCTATTTTATTTTTTTTACTTCTTGCTCGGTTCTAGAATATTTTTTTTCATGTAAAAATAGTTGAGAAAAATAAACCTGCCTGCGAAATTAGAAGCAATTTGTATAATTTAAATATGTTTATAAATTACAAATATTGAATCTTCTTTTGATAAAAATCGATACTTAATGATGATAGAGATTTTTTTACGATTGGAACTAAATTGTTACATAATAAATTAAGAAACTAAATTATTACCAACTAAGATTAAAATATTAAATTGAGTTTTTTTTAACTTAATTTAAATTTTTTGGGACTCACAATCTCTTATATTGAGATATATATCAATTATCAGGTTTTAAATATCGATGTTGATGAAAATGTCGAGATGTCAATTTCATAGAAATATCGATAAAATGTCAATGTCGATGTATAAATAAAAAAATCGTAAAAAAATATTATAAATTAAAAAATAAACATTTTCATATTTCTAAATAAGTTAAAAATTAATTAATATTGATATTATGTATATATTATTGACATTTTGTTGATTTTTTCATATTTTGTCGATTTTTTTGTACTGTGATGGAAATGTTGATTTACCCTCTTGTCGATATCGAACCCATGAAAACAAAGACATATCGATCGGAATATCGACATGTCGACGGATATTTAGAACCATGATTACCACTACCATACATTCGTTTTGACACAATTTTAATATTTTGAAGTTATGAAATTGTATTATCATTTAACAAATTCTTATAACATTTTCAGAAATATCTATGCTTTATCCTCTTTTTTCCCGATCCAATATTTGTTCTCGAAAGTCTTCGTTTATGTGTCGAAGCAAACTCTCCAAATTTATGACGAACCCTTCCTTCAGTGATCTTACAACGAACATAAGTTTTTCCATTGTAAATTCGTACTGAGCTATCAACGAATTCCGACAAAATCGAGGATCTACGTGACCAAAATTTCCTGTTCAAAAGAGGATTTCTCTTCTTCTTCATCCTCAACAGGAATGCATAAACAAAACTGCCCTTCTATATAGATCTTTGTGGCATGAACTCATTTCTCCTTTTCCCCACCCCTGCCCAAAATCCCGCTTTGGTGGACTTCCCTCAAGGTGACACCGAAGGTCTACCTCCTTTAGTAGCTCGGCATCGGGAATCAATGAGTTTTTCAACACCCGAAGGTAGCCGCACTTTTGACTTTTGAATCTCCATAATCATCCATTTATATAATTAGAAATGCTATCTATTTTTCTTTATTTTTAAAAACAGTATCCATTCTTCTTCGTTTTACGTTTCTTTTTTCACATTTTACGTTTTTTTGTCTGATCTAGAATGTTCTATAGTGAGAGAGCATGTCCATACAGTTATGATTTATTATTGTGTTACACTACACATTATGGTACACCATCCCTAGATTATGAACTAGATGAACTATATGGTGACACTTTTTATAATTTCAATGTAAAATTTATTACTGCCGATCATGTCTGACAAATTAAAAAAATTAATTTTATGATCTTTGGTAAATTAAAATTTTGATTTTATGAAAGTTAAATTTGTATTTGAAAGTGATGGTAGATTGATTTTATGAAAGTTAAGTTTAAGTTTGTGTTTGAAAAATTAAAAAGATTTAAATATAATTGATTTTTTTTTAATTTTTCAAATGTGATAAATAGAAAGGAATGCGATTTTAAATTTTAGTCCTACCAAAACCACTCCCAAACACATTTTAGATAGATTTTTAAGGTATCTCGATGATTTTAAAATCAATTATATTTAAATATTTATTTTTCAACATCACTAACTCTACCCTAAGTTCCAAACATACCCTCAGTAAAGCTGGTGAATAAGTTGTTTGGTAAGGTAATATGTCTGTTTTTTTTTTCCTTTGAGAAGGAATATTAATAGAACTTAAACAGTTACTAATATGTGTAAATATTACCCAATCACATCAACTTCTATTGTATTGACATGAACAATGCTCTATAACTCTTATGACAGAATATCCAATTGTCATTTATATGCCACATAAACAGCAACTATTCAAGATCAGTCAATGAGACGATCCCAAATTAATGTACATTTCATCGGTTTATAAGACAAAATGCAATTACAATCATCAGACAATCTCATCTCTCTACACATAAGAAAACTAACTGTTCAATATCATCAGCGTGAAATCATAAAGATTCAGATCAAAATATTGCATGCTTGAACTTGAAAAGATTGAGGCATAAAATTTGCACATCTTACCTTCCCATGGTTGTTGGCAGCATTCGATATGAACATCGGGCTTGATTCTAATATGTTTTCATCCCTGACACTGTAGTGTACTGTTGCGAAGGGGCAGCTCGAGAAACATTCTATAATGTGACGATTCCACTGCTTATTGTGTCAAAGCTTGCCCTACAGAGAAACATAATTCCTTCCAGCAGGGTAAAGGATCTAAATAACACAGCATGGCAACAAGGAGGGGACAGTTTGATGACTGAAGGAAGAAATTTTGCCAATTGTAAAGAGAGCTGCGAACGGTTAAACTAAAAAATATATATATACATATGTGCATAAAAAGCCTTTTTCCATATACACGAACCCTTTGTGGCGTGTTCTTTCTTGCTTGCTTGCATGCGGACCCTTTATCTCAAATTCTATCCTGATCCAAGAGTCCACAAACTCAAACGTTCTAACTGTTCAATCAATAATCTCTTTACAGACAACATTTAGAATGATGATACCATGCACAGATGTGGGAGAAAGCAAACACAAAATATTTGAGCATTGCAGAAAGAATAGTAATTATAAAAATCAGGCATGTTGCGAGATTTACAAATCAATGTTCAACAGTTCAAAAGCTAAGACTCATTTTGACTCGTTTCTGCCTTTTCCCCCTGTTTTCTGAACAGATATGGTAGGTAGGCAGTGCCAACTCATTAGTAGTATAATTGAGACAAATCACGAGCAGAATATCCAAACTGGGTGCTGATATATTTTTAGCTTACTCTATACTGGCAGCTTGACGTTTTACTCTTTCAGACGAATCAACCATTCAGAAAAGTTCATTTGATTTCCTATAGAAGAGATTTGGTGAATCTAGGTCCTAAAAAGCTCTAATAAAATCTAAACGCAATAAAATAGAGTAATAGATACCTTCTTATCATACCTGTGTCATGATGAAAATGAGGAAGACTATGGTTCTTCACTTCAAGCAGGCAATACAGAATTTGTGAAGAATGAACTTTTCCAGGACTTACTTTGCAAAAAGAAAACCCAGTGGGTTTTTGGTTCCATCAAGCTTGACTTGAACATACTCCCTTTCTTCAAACTAATTGATGCTGCAGAAAAGAAATTCGAGTCTGACTAGGAAAGGGGACCTGGGCGCGCTAGCATCTCCTGAAGAGTGATGAGTCAAAAGATCCTGTCCTGATTTCACAGCCTTACATATAAAAGTGATTACTTGATCACGTCAGTAACTACATGAAAAGTCCATACTTGTTTCACAGTATCGTGTAGAAAAATACTTAACGTGGTCAAACCATTACGTGAACATTATAACAAATAGAATCACATCCAATCCTGCGTACAACAGAAATAACGAAGTTCTGTACGACACATCCCAGTAAAAGGAGGAATCATCTCACATAACCTAAGCAAATTTGGTTCACTAAGCAAAAACAGCACTTTTTATCTTTTACATGAAATGTGAAGTCCCAGATACCTAATTAGCAAGTAAAGAAAAGTGGAGGTACAAATGTCTAAATTGCTGAAAAACAAGACAGCAGTATTGCTGAGAGGCATTCTTAATTACCAAGCAAGGGAGCATACCTCCGACTTCTGTACTGAAACTTGAAACTCCCAGAGGGAAGTTCACAAACCAAGGAGCAAAAGATTCAATATCACAACTCAACAACAGAATAAATAGTTCAAACACAATGTGAGAAGATGAAAAGGAGACGTGACGTGAGACCTTCTCAATAAAATTTTCACAAGCATGCGCGTCTCTGAAAAATTCCTAAGTGGAAATACAAGGAACTCAATGTAAATTACAAGAATGGCCGTACTACAAGGAAGATATGTTGTTAATTAAAGCAACAATTGCACCAGCTAATACCAAATACCTAGATTAAATTATGAACGCCAGTCAATATATTTATTCACAACTGATTGAGTTCTTGTGGATTCTCCATAGACTGTCTAAGAATGTATTCGGCTCTTCGTTTCTTATCATCCCTTTCATCATCCCGTCCAACCAAGAACACTGTTCTACCAATACCTTTCTTTTGAATGTTCAAATCCAAAGAATCGCCAAGAAGCTTCTTGCCAGTTCTAAACTTGAATTGAACAGCAGGCCTAACAATGGGAAGATCCTTCTTCACACCCTCCTCGTCATCATAAAAGCCACTCCCTTTTACAGCTTCTATGGCTGGGGCAAATGCCTCTAGCACGGAACTACTGTCATCCACCAACCCATGATCTGGATGTTTAAGAGGAGGTTCAACCACAGAAACAGCATTTTCCCTCGGTTGAAATTCTGTATCATGAGATGTGTCATTATTATCCACACTAGGTAACTCCTCTGTATTACCAGAATTAGCTACCAACCGCTGCTGCAAACTTAACAACGACTTCTCTGCCTTTCTCCTCTGCCTTGCTTGCTCAATCTTGTCAGTGCGAGGGTCCGTCGTCCTCTTATTCCACACCGGAGTATAAATGTAAGTGTGGGGATCGGGAAAAGCAGGTAACCAATGGGGTATATGCTTGCTAGGAGGTGTTTCCCTCATTTGAACGAAACTCGGTAGTACCTTGCAGCTCTTAATAATAGGAAACTGCGGCACTGGCTGAGCAAATGTTAATTCCTCAGCCGAATTCACATACTCCATAATTTCTTGCATTGTACGTGAACCTGCAAGACAATGGCTAACCTCAGCATCTTGACGGGCCACTGGTGCTTCTAAATCTTTCAGTCCTCTAAGAATGTCAAACACATTACACTCAGTTCTACCAGCTAAGTTAGAATAGAAATTCGCCATCTTTCCCAAATCACTAAGATATGTTATTACAATTTCCGCCAGCGTGTCCAAAGCAGACTCCTTTGATCCCTGGAATCCCAGATTCTTGCATATCTGTGCTGCTGCAATCTTCGATACCTCTCGCCCGAAATCATCAGCTCCAGCTCTCCTGAAAAGATCCACCTGGTGTTCATTCTCTCTCGTAATGTTCCCACCTCCATGGCTCATATTCAAATCCTCGTGTCATTTAGGTTTTGCTGGGACTGCGTTGTTCACCCCATTATTAAGCGCCCAAAGCAATAATCTTCAAATCAAACGTCATCTGAGATGGGGAGGCACTCTCATTCTAGCCAACTCATAATTAATGAAAAAAAAAGGCCCGAAATTCAAGATTGAGAGAGCAGGCCGAATCCTGCTTGAAACTCCGTCGGAAAAAGATTTCCTCCCTCCGAAACTGGTAATTGCGCAGACTTTCAAAAACAACCCGAAATGAAAGAACCAATTCCTCCAGAAACTCCAGACAACAAATTAACTCCGAGCAGAATCTGTAAGCCTCGAAAAACTCTAAAATTGGCCAATAAATGCAGAGACTCCCTCGAACTTTCGGACAAGTGACACGAAATCTATCATCAAACCAGATAATTCAAAGTAGAGGAGGCACCAGGATGGAAAAACAAGCGTCGAAAGCAGATTGAAACCCTAAGAAGAAGATCGTTAGGGTTTACAGAAAGTCAGCGACATGGAGGGAATCCAAGAATTCAAACGAAAATGAAAAAAGAAAAAAAAAACAAATGATTGGGAAAATTGGATAAACCCCGGTAAGACCCTCGCAAATAGAGATCGAAGAAGAAGGAAATTTTTGGAGGAAAAAAATGAGGAAAAAAAAAGCATGAAAAAACGAGATCGATGAATGACCGATATGCGAGGATGCATTTATTTATAGGGCACCGAAGCCAGTTTTCGATATTTTACAGAGTTTGTCCGAATTATTTTGATTTTGGGCCTTCCATATGGGCCTTCGTAAAGCCCACGTAAATCCTCTTGAGTCTATTCTCCAAAAAAAAAACCTTAAATCTTTTCTTCTTTTCTTTTATTTTCAAATTTTTTTTTGTCACGGGCTCTATTTTTTTTAATATTAAATAAACAGTGCATTAATTAACAAAATGAGGCTTTTGTTGCAATGGTGATCACATGCTCCAAAATCAAACATTAATAACCATATATCTCAGATTAAAAAAGATTAAAAAGATTAAAAGATTGTGAGTTCGATCCTCACTATAATATATTGTACTAAAAAAAATAGTGATCACACACCATATTTATAATCGAAACAAAATTATCTGAAATGACAATATTAAAAACACACTTAAGAAATAAAATAGCTTGTATATTAAAAAAATAAGAATATAAGTAAATTTCAACTCACGGAACACTTCCAACAATAGTAAAAAATTTGTTTTTTATTATCCTATCGACAATTTGAGTCGATATCTTTAGACTATTTGATGTTTACTCAATAATTTGGCAAGGCAAAAATAATTTTATCAAATTAAAATTTATACAATTTATTCAAATAAATTCTTTATTTTTTTTTACTAATTTACTAATTAATTTTAAGAAAATATTGGATAAGTGGAGGTGAGAATTTAAACTCATAACTTCATGATTGAAGGTATGAAACTGAACTCAGCGATAATGACTTTATAAAAGTTTGTTGTTATTATTATTATTATCATATATTTTTTTTTTTTGCAAAGGTTGTTTATTTATTTATTTTTGGTAGAGGTTATTTTTTTCTCTCGTCTCATAGTGTAATACGCAAATTCCTATCCAGAACCGTCTCTCTTGTATCAGTTCCTCTTCATAGAGTACCAAGTCCATCCAAAATCAATGGCATACACACGGCACCGAAGCGAGGATCCTCAGAAGTTCAACAATGGCGTCTATTCACCTTCATCACCATCTTCCCTCTGCATCTATCTCCCTTCCCAAAGCCAAAGCTTCACCGCCCCTTTGCGCACCACCACTCTCCGTCTCCGCATCATCTCGCTTCTCTCCGCCATCATTTCCGACAATAAACCTAAATTTAACTGGTTTCACCAACTGGCTTCTCCATTTTCCTCCAAAATCTTTCAGTTTCGCGCTCTCTGGTGCTCTTGCGCTCGGAATAGCTCTCTCTGGTTATCAATCTTGCAACCTATAATTGTTTAGATGAAAAGTGAATGTCGGATTCTGTCCCATTTTTTTTTAGGTTCTAAAGTCGGATTAGGAAATCTGTTTGTTTAGTGAAGGAATTAGCTATACCTTACCATAGAAGTTTTTAGAATTTGATCGAAATGTATGACGGTAATTCAGTGAGCGTGCCTCGTAGGAGTTGGATTTGCGGACGCCAAAGTTGGGGTTAACAAACCAGAACTGCTTCCTAAGGAGTTCACCTCTGTCATTGATGTCGCCGGGTTTCTATCTGATGGCCAGGTGTGCTTGCTTTGCTTAACTTTTTTGTTTTTCCCTTTATTTCTGGTATGTTCTTTGGTGTAATTTTGGTTATTTGATCATGTTCAAGTGGCCATTGCTGATTCTGGTCTGCTCTGAACAGGAAGTTAGGCTCAAACAAGAAATAGCCGAGATTGAGAAGGATACTGGATATAAATTGCGAGTTTTGGCGCAAAATTATCCTGTGACACCAGGTTTACTATATGTTTTATCGTCTTTGCCATCCAGCAAGTTTGATTTCTGGATTAAAACACGATTCTATTGTTTTTAATTTATGATTAGAACACATTCATTATACACTTTTAATGTATATATTGGAATCTTCTACTGCGGGCTCCAAAAAAGAAAAGGTCGTCACTTTTTTTTGCACTGCATTTTTTAACCTCTAGTAGACTATTGTGCTTCAACCAACGCGCCTCATACTTTAAAAAACACTTTTCAAATAGCAGATCATGGAATTACTTTCACTTTTAACAGTAAGGACTTCATCGTTTGGAGTAAATCTTATTAGAAGAGAGTAAATGTATTTTAACATTTCTTTGTTGATACTTCATATACTTTGAATGTCTCTCTCACACACACAATTGAAGCTTGTTGAGTTTGACGGTTTTTGATCTAAAAAGCACAAACAATCGATGTAATGATTTTTACAGGGCTGGCAGTCAAAGATTTTTGGCAAGTGGATGATAGAACAATCGTGTTTGTTGCCGATCCTACATTTGGTATGAACAATATTAGGATACCTCTCTGCACCTGTAACTTTGATGACATCTGTTGACATCTTTGCTCAGGTAACATATTGAACTTCAACGTCGGAGCGACTGTGGATTTGGACATTCCACGGAGCTTTTGGAGCCGTTTGGCCGGGAAATACGGAAACATATTTTACTGGAAAGAGAAGGTAAAATTTTTAAATTGATATTTTTGTACAAAGTCCTGGTCGTGAGCAATTGCTATGTTCAGCAATATACGGTCATATCAGCAGCTCATATAATCACTCTTGTGACTTAAACAGGGTGAAGATACATCTATTGAATCAGCTGTCATGGCTATATCTAATTGCTTGAGAGAACCAGTCGGCCCAAATAACTGTTCCGAGATAAAGTAACAGCATCGAACAATTGTGTACGTATGTCGAACTAGATTTGGATGTTCTGACAGTGATACATAATATATAGCCAATTTTCATGTCTTAAATGAAATCCTGTTCTTTTCCTCAGTCAAGAACATGGTGTAAGTCTATTACTTGAAAACACTGGGAGTAGTGATAAAAAAAAGGTTTGAAGGAATTTGATTAATTGTGTAGACATTTGTATCTCAACTGTGCAGAGACCAAGAGAAAAAAAAAAGGAGGTGCAATTTTTAGTTGGCTAATAACTAGTTATCATATGAACACTAGATGCAACCCACTCCCCATTTTTCTGTTTTCTTCTGTCTTCTAAAATCTTCTGTAGTTCCTCGGGTGGACAAGGGACTGTTAGAGCTCCCTTTTGTTGGAATCCATATTCTTCCTTAGCCAGCTCCAATAGCCTCAAGAATGCAGGGCTAGACAATAACTCCAAATTAATGACAAATCTCTTTCTTTCATCACCATCCACTGCAAACACCACAAAATGGCCTTCTTCCACGTCTTTTGGTACCGTAACTGCTGCTTCGAATTCTTCATCCAAACTTCCAGGGTTAGGTTCTTTAGATAGCAGTGGAGAGAGGCTCTTTTGGAGCATAGCGATGAATAACCTTAGCATCATCAAGCTGAGATTCCGAAGCCTGTGTATCAATATTTCTCTCTTGTTTGCCACTATTAGGTGTGGGAAACAACTGTTTGCCGTGAACTCGAGGCTTCGGATAGAGCAGAATGAGAGTTAGAGGAGATTTATACTAATATGGGGACGTACATCAGAAGTTGCAGTGAAGCTTCTGAGAGGGCCATGTCTGAACCATTCCATGTGGGTGGCAGCAACATATCATTTAATGCTCACTAGGTCAGCTAAGTTTTCTGTGTCTCAGAAAAATGATAGTCAGTGTTAGGTTCCTAAACAGAAACTAGACAATTTTAGGACGAGATTTGATAACTCAGATGTTGGTCTTCAAGCCGTAGAAAAGAAGGGAAAATCCAGGACTTCCAAAAGTTCCAACTCAAAGAACACCTTATTTGACCTGGTAAAGCTTTATAAATGATAATTCCTCTACAATATTCTCATCTTCCTTTAGAGTTTTGGTTAAAGAGTGAAATTGTTCTTCCCTTCAAGATCATAGGCTCGTGAAACAATCAATAATCTCAACCTTTACCAATAACTCGGTAGAATGTAGTGAAACCATGGGAAGAATGAGATCCAGAGGATGAGAATTGTTATGTTTTTTTTTTAAATCTTTTATCTTAGACTGAAGTGATGGTGCTTGGTTTTGGCATCAGTGCATTTAATGCAGTGGGAAGGAGGTGTTGAAGGAGTCCATATTTTGAACGACCGACACCTTCTGTTGACCAAGAAATATTATTACCACATCGGTGGTGTTGCCTGATCTGGTCTTAACTCTTACAAGTCTTTGAGTCTTGAGTCGTAAGAAAGGGTGCTGAAAGATGAACCGCCGACGCCCAAGCCTCACTAAAATGGCATTCAAAGATACAGATCCTGCTCCCCTCCCCCTGCACCGCAAGAGAGTGTAGCGATGTTGGACTAACTCTACTTTTGATACCCATGATCTTTCATACACGTTTCAAAAATATGTTTTGAACAAACATATGTTAGTTAATATATTGAACCGAAAAGTTAACATGACAGAATCTGAAATGATGTGGCAGTTAATATGGAAGTTTGCGTGGGATAAAGTTTGAAAAGAGAGAAAATATGGAAGAAGTTATTGTTTTTAAGAGGGGATTAGTGCAAAATTGGATAGATAAAGGAGAATCAAACTCTCTTGATGATGGAGTAAGAAACTTTTAGGACAAAATTGAGACGGTTATTGTCATGTCGGAGAGTCATAGCTTATCTCAATTGAGAGTCATGCACAGTGTCTTATCTAGACTGCTGGCAGCCTTAGCTAGAGCCACTGTAACATTAGGGTAAAATGTGTCCTGCCTTGAACGAAGATGAACAGAGACTCCTTGGGACGTCAAGTTCGGATCTTGGCCTTTCCTCTCTTTGACTTGTATTAGTAGAGCGTTCTTCATCTAAAGGCTCTTCATATCATGAACTTGTCTAAGTCAAACTCTTCCTTTTACAACTCTTAAGTTGTCCCATGAATACGTTGATTCGAAATCGGAGTTTTGTTAGTATCATCTATAGTGATAATGATGGATGAATAAAAAATTTTCAATTGTATTTATTCTTTCTATTGGTATCATTTTTGTAGTAAAACATGTGGGGATGAGAAATCGAACTTACAACTTCTTGGTCTGAGATGTATGCAAACTCATTCCTAATTCTTAAACATGTCCATAGTCTAGTTGTAAAAACTAAAACAAATATATGTACCTTTTTCTGTTTGAAACTTTTTTTTGTTATATAGTATTACATTCACAGATATGAGGTGGGTGTTTGATAGACTTGAACCTTTTTTTTAAATCATTTTAAGTTGAGCAATGTAATAAATTTGTTTCAATATCTTTTTTCTTTCAACTTTTTTTTCACTTTCTCAACAATTTTTCAAAAATTCTTTATTCAAATCCTTGAAATCTTGGTCTTCTCAAAACAAATTATGATATTAAAATTTTTATTCAATTTAACATATGAATGGGTTTTTAAATTGCTATTAACTAACCCAACCCAAGATATTTAGGCTGGATTAAATCCATTATCTTGCTAGAATTATTTGATATACATAAATTTGTACCTAACTACTGAAATTATATCTCACTTATTTCAATTAATTTATGAGTATAGATTGGAGTCTCATTTTGCTATTTGATTCAATAACTTCTGTCCATGGCTGAGCGAATTTTCAACTCACACATTAAAAATAATAACAGAGAATAGTTCACCAAATTGATAGTGTCTACTAACACTAGAAAATTTGTAATACTCTCGCGAGTAGAAAATTTTATATTGTGCTTCTGTAACATCTACTACTAATTTCAAAAAAAAAAAATTATTTCATAAATAATTCTTTTAATGTTGCGTAGTAATGATTCTTAAAATTTACATTACATGAAAAATTGTTCATGGCCATGAGAGTACTGAAATTTTCCTAATAACACTAATAATTTACACTGAGTGCTAATATTTCAATTCCATTTTTTCCCCCAATATTCACGATCATCACGCGGTTCGTAAACGCTCAAACCCGGGTCCCGGGTCATCGGAGCTAGGAAAAACCTGGAATCCGGTGACCATCGCCGCCGGCGGACCACGTCGGCACCTCTGCTCCATCTCCGTCACCGCCTCAGGGCGGCCGGAGAAAAGCGCCTCCACGGACCCATCCCTCCGGTTCCGCACCCATCCCTTCAGCCCTAACTGAGTAGCATTCTCCACCGTCCAGTCCCGATAGAAAACCCCCTGAACCCTACCCTTAATCACAGCCCTAACCTGCAATTTCCAAAACCCTAATTAATTACCACCAAATCTCCCTACAGAATCGAGCACCGCCTCCTCGATCGATGAACAACAGAGAGAAACCAAAATTCAACAATACTCACCGTTTTGGACGGAGGAGTGTCCGGAGCAGCCTGTTCTGGAACGGCGGAGGCCATCAATGGCAGAGGATGTCGAGAAGGAGGTGGACGAGATCGGAGCAGAGGAAGAAGAGGAGGATGAGGAAGAAGAAAACGATGGCGAATCGGAAGAGGAGAATGAGGAGGAGAAGAGTGAGAATTATGGATATGGGAGAGTCGAGAACAAGAACCAGCATCGCTATAGTTGAGAGAGTGAGTCCATTTATGGCGAGGATTCCGCCATGGAAGGAATCTGGTAGAGCGATTGCGAATCAGAGGTCCGATTGATGCCGAAAAAGCTGCGGATGATGCCGATGCCGATGCCGATGCCATTCATTTTTTCCCTTTTTTTTAGGGATTTGGATTCTGATTTTTTTTAGTCAATAGAATGGGAAGAAAATTAATCGAGGAAGAAATTTGGGGTTTTATTGAAATTTCGAGAAGTCAGTGGACATGGGGACTTCCTTTTTTCCAATCAAAAGAAAATGGGGAATAGTAATGACGTTGGAGATTCTAGAAGAAGGAACACGTGTCAAGAAACTATTGGTATATAATTTAGGGTGATTGTAGTAAAATTACTGTTTCTTGTTTCTCAATATTTTCAAAATTGTGTGTGAGTTTTAGAAACAACCGAATAAAATTATGATAGAAAATAAAATCAAGTTTGTTTCTGGTTCGTTTCTCATTTTTTTCAAAACATAAATAGAAGCATTTATTTTATTCTCACTTATAAAAAGCATAATAAATATTAAAAAAATAATATAACATAAAAAATTGAAATTTCAATTAAAAATTAATTATCATGTAAAAAGTTATTTTTTTATCTATAAAGTTTTAGAAAAAGATAAATAATAAATGGTTACTAAATATGTTTTTGTTTTTTCAATAAATATAAAAGGAAGAAAGATGGAGGTTATTAAACATGCTCTGAAATTTATCTCTTGAAATTTAAATATAAATTTGAAATTTTTTTATTTTTTTATTTTTTTTAGTACAGATGAAACATTCTACTAAAACTCAGATATAATATGGTTGAAAACACAATTCATGAATTGCTTAAAATTTAGCCGTATAAATGCTGAAGTTCAGCTGCATAAAAAGTTAGTTGCAAATCCAAAGGAAAAATATATGGAGTCTTTATCACTAGAATGTCAAGATTTATTCAAAACAAACACTTATATTCACAAAATAACTCATTTTTATGTGTTATTGAATATTGATTTAATTAGAAAATGTTGATATTCTGAGGGTAAATTTAAAAATAGAGTATAAAACGTGAGACCTTTTCTGTCAATTTTGGTTTTTTGCAACTTGTCAAATAAAAGGCCCAAGCTCATACATTTCGCTCCAACCCGGCCCAATAGGCCCAATTAAAAAGAGTTCAAGTGGGCCGATTTTGTAATGTTTGCACAGACGATCCACAAAGATATATATATATATATATATTTCTGTGCAAAGGATATCCCCAACTTTGTAAAAACACATTTTTTTTTTCATTTAATCATTAATTATTTTCAATCACTTTAGCAAAGCAAGTTTAATTTTAACCACATAAAACTAAGAATAATCCGTCAATAAATATGGCCATAATATTTCACAAGAGAAAAAATTATGGCCCTAACGTTCATCGGATATATTTTATATTTCCTAAGTTCTAAAATGTTAAATGTATATTTTTTCATTTTATTGTTTTTTATCCTTAAATAAATACAACATTCATATATTATTCGTATTACAACCCTTAATAATAACAAGTTTTTTCATATTTTAGAATTGATTTAAAATTTGCAAAAAACAAATTCTGCCCATTGTGAAAATTAATTAAAAAGAATACCTTGTTAATTAAGGTGAAAATTCCTTATCGTTTTTTTAGTAGAATATGTGAGGGTAGGAGAACGAACTTACAGCCTATTGATTGGACATATATGTTAATTACCTCTGATGAATAATTTCAAATTAAATAACACACATTAAATACAATTATAGTTGTTTGAATCGGAGGTCTAGATAATTGTACTTTTAATAAGTTGATTATGCCAACCAATTTTTACCATTTGAACTACTCCCATAGGTTTGTACTTGGTTAGATGGTTGACAAAATGAGTAATAATGATACAATAATTAAAGTTAATAACTTCTTTACTTTACCTAAAGAAATGTGATATTTTCGTGTGCGTATATAAATATGTATTATATTTTTTAAATATTAATCTATTGGATCTAACAAAATCCTCTTCTCTCTCTCCTTTTTTTTTACTTCTAACAAAATTCTCTTCTTGATCGAACATAAATTTGATTTTTTTAGATATGTTTTATCTTCTATTTGAGTTTGAGTTTGCTTCTATTTGAGTTTGAGTTTGATCTATGTTATTTTTTAAAATTTTAATATATTTGAAAAATTCGTTGAAGATAAAATCATAGTACTTAAGAAATAAAATTTTATATTATTTTCTTCGTAAAAATTATTTTCCAAATACATGTCACTGAGAATCATTTAAATGTTTTCTATGGACAATCATTCGAGGGAAATTGAACAATGACTTTTGAAATAATAGTAAATATTCTATCTACTTAATATTGCGGTGTATTATTTAAATTATTTTTCACTTAACATATTTATGATTGGTATAACAATAAATAAATTTAAACATACTATTAAATTGAACAATAGCTTTCATATTTTTACAAATCATATCATTTTACTATTAACCTACTTTAAAAATCTCTTGGTTGGTAGATTTGTGAATGATATATTTTTGTTAATTACAGTTCCACGAAATTGATATTAGTGGAACCAGCAAAGCTACATGTGTCTAGGCCTAAGTTCGGACATGTCGAAGATGGAAATGGAACCAACAAAGCTACATGTGACCACTAAGCAGGAGACCGTCAAGTATGGAATGTCGAAATAGGAGGAGAAAGCTTTTCAGAACTCCCATATAAAAAGGAAGGCATTCTTCACAAATGTACGTAATTTCTACCCAATGTGTTTAAACTCGATTCGACACCAACGGATACTATATAAGTTCTAACTTAAGTTTCTGAGTGACCGCATTTGTGTAAGGTTATGTGTGCATATCATCAATTCAAAGGCATCCATCTCATATTCGAGGCTGACATGTCATTTCGCCATAATCCTACGTCAATAGGGTATCTAGCTTTCTTATATTCAAATTTTTATTTGTGATATTTAAATTTATCAAAAGTCTAATTCACTTGCGTTTATTGGTCAGAAGAAATTGTAAAAAGAAATAATAGAATGAAACCCAAATAATCAAGGGCACGTGGGTTTTGAATTTGGAACTAAAACCTCATCGATTTTTAAATTATTAAATTCCTTTTTCCTTTTTGAACTTTTCTTTTGCCATAGATAGCTGCCATGGACATTATAATATGTAATTAATTCAAAGTAACGATTTCAACATTACATTTAATTTAAGTTAAAAAAAACTATGAAGTAAAATATTCGTACAGATTTCAATTGAAATGTTCAAGTATATTTTCGCGAAAAAATATCCACCATAAAATAATATAAATTTATATTAAATTTTTTGTCAAAAACCATTTTTGGTTCATGTATTCTCATAACAATTTAATCCCTTTATTTTAATTTATAACAATCTAGTCAATGTACTTTCAATTTGTAATAATTCAATCAATCCTTGTAGTTTAAAATTTTTAACGATTTGATCCCTATCTTAAAAAAATGATGTCAAGATTCAATGTTGTTTCTTATATAAGTGGATCAATAAAATGATAAGGGATCAAATGTGTTTATAAACTGTAAAAATTAAATCATTACCTACTAAAAATCGACACATAATTTTATGGTAGAGACTAAATTGTTACAAATTTTAACTACATAGACTAAATTTATATATACTAACATTTATGACTAAATTGTTACAAATTGTATAAGTGTGAAAGTGTTGAGACAAAATTAGATATATTTTGAACAAACAACTTGGAATCGAAGGCTAGAATTCAAAAGTGGTTTTGAAAAAATTGGGGCAATTAAAATTGACTATTCGCAAATTGAAAAGACTTTTTTTTTAAGGGTGGAAATTGAAAAGACTTTGGGGTCATTCTGACTGTTCGCAAATTTATAAGGACCATATTACAAGAATTGGCGACTGGTCCGAGATTTATTATTTTATTATTTTTTCTTTTTTGGGAAAAAATCTAAAATAAAGACGGTTCAAATGGATCAAATGACGTATACAAAATTCAAACTTGGAAGAGAGATTTTTAAAAGGGGTGTTTTTAACAAAATAAATAAATAATTTATTATTATTATTATTTTTTTGTGTGCGAAGGAGCAAGATATTTTTGATTACCAGATACTTCGATATTCAATTCTAAATTTAGAACATTTATGCTAAAAGTATATAGATAATTTTAAGGGATTGTTTGTTTTGGGTGAATATAGATGCCTGAAATTTTAGATATTTGACATATTTTATTTTGTAGGAAAATCTATAAAAATATACAGACGTTTGTTTTGCCAGATTTATTTTTGCAAATGTATTAAATTTATTGAACGTTTAAAAAACTTCTTTATGAATATCCATATAATTTAAAATATAATAGATTTATTTGGTTTAATTTAATATTTTATTTTTTATCGGTTATTTTGTAAAACAAATTAATTCATATAAATTTCATTTTTAACTTTAATATTTTTTTTTCAAAAGGACAATCATAAAATTTATTATTTTGAATGAAATGTATTTATCTTATCATCACAATATATTTTTTAAGAGGAAAAATATCACTGTATCGGTAGTAATAGTAAAAATAATGATGGTTTAAAATTATATATTTATGGTAATAAAGTATTATTAATAATATAATTCCTTTAAAATATTAAAAATAAATTGACATATTATATAATTTAATTACAGTTTATTTTACATGTAAATTTAATGTACAAATATAGTTAATTGCATAAAATTGTTTATTACCATAATTTAAATTAAAGAGTGGAGGTCCTCAACATGGTAATTTTGAAAACTCATGTTTCATAAGGGCATTCAAAACTTGTAAGATGCTCCGGTACTTATCAAGGCGGGGTCGGGTTTGTGGTTTCTTAATAGCGCTGTCAAAAGCACATTTATGTAAATAATTTAAAAAAATGGAAATTGCTTTTTGGCATTACATGACTTTATACATACAATTGGACTATATGTTAAGCTTGAATTATGAATAATTTAAAATTCTTGTTGGTTGGATTATATGGCGTACATATGTGGCTTCTTAATTTTTTTTATATAGGCGTGTGCCATGTCGGTTACCATATAATATATCTACTATTATTTAATAGGATTTTTTAGAAAATGCATTTGGCTAGCTTAATCATAATATTTTTTAAAATTTCAGATTAATATATTATTTATTAACATTTTCAATTTAGTTTCCCATGCATTGGTCAATGATAAATTTATACATTTGATAAAATACTAAGTAAATTAGTATAAATTTAGAAGGGTACAAAACTTGAAAGTTCTATCAATTTCTTAAAATTTTGGAAGAGCAACCAGAGATTATCATGTTTAAGATATCTTTGTCACCGTCTAAATTCGTTAATTCATGGGATATTATGTTAAAACAAATTTATCATCAACTCATTTAACTAAGTTAAAAAAATATTAAAATAATAAAATTGAAACTTTTAAAATTTAAAGACTAAATTAAAAAAGATACCCATATAAAAAATCAATTGGTCAATGGCGTCGTTTTGGGACTGGTGGAACTTTTGGTCTACTTCGACGGAAGATTCCTAAATCTCAAACCATTTTCAAACCCCATACCCTAAACCCTCCATACTTCACTTTCCACATCATTTTATATTATTATAATAATGAATAGCAATGACACACATTAAATTGGGGGAGGAAAGACAAAAAAAACAACTTGACCTCATCTGCCCCTCGATATTTAAGTAATGATATTAATCATATATACCTATAATAAATAACGTAGGAATGTATTTTGAAATTTTTCTTAGTTAAGTAATTGTATAGATACGATGATTAAAATTTTGGAGATTAAATTTATAATTGGCTTGAAAACTTTCATTTCAGCTATTGTTAACTATTATTGAGAATGGTTGCAAATTATGTTTGTACAATAAATTCGATCAAAGGTTAGAACTAGTCAAAACGATATGCAGAAAAGAGGCAAACACACGTCGATATTCAAATCAGTTTAAATTTGATTGGATATTAAGATCAAGCTAGAATGTGATACTTGATGCAGAAATGAAGTTCTCTATTTATAGGTTGGGGATGTGACAAACTATTCGACAGCGGTTATCCATATTGTCTCGAAGGTCGGGTTATCAAGTGCATAAGATCGAGAGTAGGTAAGACCTTCACCGCATGGAGGTATATATTTTAGTAGGTTTTGCGACTAAATATGAAGGGCAAACCTCCCTTAGTGGTCACTTAGGGGAGACCTGATCTTCCGCGACTGAACGGGAAATGCTTGCTTCTATTCTTTCTCTCCGAGCGATGATTGTATGACAAGGCTTCCTACAAAATAGATTTTTGTTCACAAACTAATCATATTTGAAATTTTCAAAGTTGTCCTTTTAAAACTATTTCAACATCACTTATTCAATCAATTATTGTTAAACAATAAAATGAATGTGAAATAACACACTCACATCTATGTTTCAATTTTGTTATTAAAAATTATATATGGGGTGAGGTCACAATGAATTTCTAACTTGGTTAGGGCGAATGGTAGTTTCGATATACGAAAGAATCAAATCGGTATATTTGAAATTCTATAATCTAAATCGTAAAAATGTAAAATTCAAAATAAATTTACATGATTTTATTTAATTTTTTTTAGCAAATTACAAAAATGAAAACAAAAATAGATGACAAAGTGGTTGAAACAAGAGAGGGGTTAGAATTAACCTCATAATAATGAAGAGCCACTTTTTCTTGTTATATTTTTCTTTCTTTAAATTAATTGATTTGGTAGCCATTGCTGAGTCACATTACATAGGCACACCTCAATGTGACTACTCACCTTCTTTATTTTAATGTCCAAACAGTTATTTTTTTAATATAATATAGTGCCATACCATAATATAAAACCCCATTTCTCAATAAAATTCATTATCCTTTTCATTATATGCATAGTTGCTATCTTGAATTATATAATATTTGTTTAAACCAAGGCGTGTGAAAATTTGTCCTTATATACAAACCTCAAACCTAATAAATAATTAAATGATGATGAGATAATCAGCCATGCACCTTGTTTCAATATTTATTTTTATTCAATAAATTAATCCACTAAAATAGCATTATATATATTATATATATTATGAAACTTTAAAATTGCTATTTTTTAAACCGGTCCCATCTTAATTTCTTTAGTCAGGGATGGGTATTCCAACCTCCAACTAGTAAAAAATATTGGTCCGAGTAGTTATGCTCCATTGGTTTTAAGCATGTGAATCAACATTTCACTAATGATTTTAGCATAAAAGATTAAATATAATCATAACTTAATAATATAATTAAAATTAATATAAATATTAGCAGATATTTGTATTCTCAAAGAAAAAATTGAAATATGGGCTATGTTTCAAAATTCGGAGGGTGAAACGATATGTATCTCCGTGTAGATGATTTCACATGTCACCAATATAGACGTGGTTGAAATTATTGCTGTTCACGGATGTTTGTTATAGTAGTAAGTGAAGCTGGTTTTAACTCAATAAAAGTAGAGTCCGCAGTTCAGCAAAATATTGATGATGTATGATTCATAATTTGAGAAAATTCTCAATTGGCTCTGCTCATCAATTTTCTTCCCTTCCGTTTTTGTTTTGCAAATTAGAAGGAAATTGTGTAGCTCACGAGCTAATAAAAATGGTGGTTGAAACGAAAAGATAAAGAATCTAATTGGAAGAACTATGTCTGAGTCAAAATTTCTCTCTGAGTATTTTAGAACAGAACTAGGTGTAATTGGGGTGGTTTGCCACTGCTCGGAGAGTTGTGGTCTTGTCCTTAAAAAATTAATAATAGAACTTTTAAAAATTTAAAGAATAGTTAAGACTATTAAGTTTAGTATTGACCTATATATCTTTTTTAATTTAACCTACCATATTTTTCCAAATAATTTTTAAAACACGATACTTATTTTTACCCCAATTTCTTTATAATATTTTATTTTTTGCTCCACGAAAACTAGAGAGGCAAGCTTCATGCGGTCTAAAAAAAGTAATTGAATTTGTCAATTTTGTTTCCAAACAGAGGATTGATGTTAAATATGTTCATTCTTTTTATATAAGAATTTCAACAATTTTTATGGTCTCTCAAATTAATTGTTAGGAGCTGATTTTTTTTTCCTTTTTTGTATTCGTAAAAATTAATTTTAAATCTTCCGTAAAAAGAATCCTGGTAATATTGTTAAAATTTTGAAACACCACTCCAAGAAATTTAAGTTAAATTACCACTTTTGTGTCAATTCTATTATTGTATTCTAATTTATCAAGCTTAATATCTCCCATCCTATCATTAATTAATGGATAATTAAAAATGGTCAAACGCTCATCTAATCATAATTTAACTAGTTAAGATATATATGTACGATTAGAAAGTTGAGATTCGAATCTCGTGATATGCCAATTATCACTAAACTATGTTCGCTAGTATTTAAGTTAACACGTATAATTATAAAAAAAAAAATTAAAGTACACTCTACAAAGATAAAATTGCATAGATGAAAGATATCATTTAACCTTTTTTTATTGTGTTATTTATTAAAAAATATACATGTACAATTTAAAAAAGGATTAAACTTTGTGACAGTTCTACCATCAAAGAAGCTTTCACAAGAATATTTAGATAGAGATGGAAATGGTAGTTTGATTTTAGAAGTTATCAGAAATAATTAAACATTAATTTGAGATTTGAATTAAGTGCATTAAATTTTGTTGAACTGCACCGCTCAACTTGTACTAATTTATTAGTTTGGTACTCACAACGCATTCTATATGTATCGTATAAAAAAGAAAAACCCATAAAATTTAAATAGCTTGGGGTTCTTTTATTAAATTTGAATTACTTTTTTTTTGTTGCTAATTATCGATATATAATATTCAGATAGCTATCAATTTCGATACTGTCAATGAATTTTTAATTTAAAAAAAGGAAATCAATAGCATCGTTGCGTCGACAATCATCGCTTCAAAGATAAATCGATAGTTTGAAAGAGAAGGGACTATTAATTGGACGGTTTATTATAGTTAAATAATATTTCATAAATAAACATCTTTCATATTTTAACGTTAATTATTTTGATAATGTTAAGCAATAATGTTCTGCAGATTAAATGTGGGCGAAAATAATTTAAGAAAATATTTAACAGATCTCTATTATTACGTCATATATTTGAACCGAACAAAAGTTACAATAAAATAAAAAACGAACGACCAACTCCCCCAATGAATTGAATTGGATTAACGAGCCGGCAGCTGACCGGCCGGCCGGCCGACATATCGGAAAATTAAAAAAAAAAAATCTAATTCTTCTTCTTCTCTTCTTCGTCTTCTTGTTTTTTTAGGGCTTTAATTCATTTACAGAGACTGTATTACGTTAGGCTATAGCAGAGATGAAGGACCTTTCGTGGATGTTTACTCACATGACGGAACAAGCATTTGGATTCTCGTCGCTGAACATCTGAGGCGCGTGCGAGTGTTCGTACCCGTACATCGGCATCGCGTTACCTTCGTGTACATAATTCTGGTTTACATAGCCGCTCGAATTTGCGAATCCGTGCATTGGATTGCTCGGCTGAGCTTCCATGGCGTAACCGTGAGAGTAAGCTGGACCGCCGTAGTAGAATGTTGAAGGCGGATATGCGTATCCATGGTACTCCATCCTGCTCACCTCCATTTTTGCTCCACCGCCATCGCCGCCGCTGGGGGCGAGTTTGGCGGCCTCCGGTTTGTTTTTTTCCGGTTCTTCTTTCTTAGGAGGAACTATTTCGACGGATCTCTTGAACTTGTTTTTGAGGGAGCCTGCGAGGTCTTTTCCTTCTATGGCGCCTTTCACTGTTACCAGATCCTTCGAGCTGTCTATCGTAACCGCATCGACTCCTGTGAAATTGCAGATGCGTTGAGTGTTAATATTTTTCTATGTAGATTCTATAATCTCTACTAATTGATTTTGATCTTTGAGTGAGACGGAAATTTCTTCACCTTTGTATTTGATGATTGCCTTCCTGATCTTTTGAATGCAACCTTCGCAGTGTAATCGGATCTTCAAAACCACAGTAGTCTGCTCCAAAAACAGATCGAACCAAAATTAGTTGCGATTATAAAGATTTGCTAATGAGATCACTACTAATATAAAATCACTTCGATCGGACATAAATTACGCACGCTGAGGCATGGAAGAGACTCGTGCGTGGCCAACACGCGCCGACAGCTAGCTGTTTTTCATATCATCTGATCGATGGTCGAGCAACAGCCGGCGATGGCACGGCAATAGCTTCAGGCGCGTGCTAGAAAGACGATAATTCATATTATATACTTTTTAGTATACCTCTTTTGGCTTTTTGTCGTCTGCTTTTTTCTCTTCAGGCTTCTTGGCTTTTTCGTCAGGCTTCTTCTCGGCTTTTGCGTCAGGCTTCTTCTCGGCCTTTTCGTCAGGCTTCTTCTCGGATTTTTCTTCCGGCTTTTTCTCTGTTTTTTCGTCGGTCTTCTTCTCTGCCTTTTCATCGGCCTTCTTATCGCCACCGCCATCTTTCTTAGGCTGAGGAGAGACGAGATCAACTTTCTTTTTGGTCTTCTGCTCCAGGCTCTCTTTGATTACGGCAGGGTCCACTTTACCAGTAACTGTTAGTTTATTAGATGCAGAGTCGGCCTTCACGTCACTCACACCTACAAACGAGTGGAAATTCCTTCAATTAACCACTTCACGGATGACCAMACGAATATTGAAAAGATCAAAGTGATCAAACATAACCAATCCGGAATTATATTTGACCAAATCAAAGTCAATTAAAATAAGAAATCGCAGGAGGACCAGAAATTTCGGATGATTCTTTAACTATGAGCAAAAAAAATCTCTAAATTGAAGGTAGAAATCGTTTCCAGTGCAGGCAGATGAAAATTAGGGGAAGAAAATGAAAACACAGAAGAAATTCAATAGCGTCAATCAAATTTTACCATTCAAATGCTTCACAACTCGTCTAATTTTCTTAGCACAGCCCTCACAATGCATATCGATCTTAAAAACGGCGGTGACCGCACCGTCGTCCTTCTTCTGGCCGGCATCGGCGGCCTTCTTCTCACCGTCCTTCGCACCTTCTACTTTCTGCAATAAAAATCAAACAAAATCAAACTCCAATCCAACGAATACAGCAACAGAAAAAAAAAATTTCTCCTCGGGAATCGGAAACGTGAAATTGATGAGCAAGAAATTGAAGGCGAAAAGGAAGAGGCGTGATGAGAGTGGGCTCTGTAACAAACCTCGCCCATTTGTTAGTCTGTGAATTTGTTTGCTTGGAGAGAGGGAAATTGGGGAAGAACGCCAATTTATACATGAAGGCGTGGGATGGGATGTATGTATGTGCGGTGCATGTATGTATGATATGTAGTTATGTTATGATGGTTGCTCACTGGCCGTCGATTTGGACTCCGTTTGTTTTGGACCGGAACGCTGCGGACTCATTGTTTGACTAGACCCCACGTGCTAAATTTCTGAAAATAAAAAACAAAAAATATTTTATTTATGGTAACGTTTGATTTTTTTTTTCTTTAGATAAAAAATATGTATTTTGATATACTTAATTTAAAGGGGAAAAAATCTCATTTTTTTATTCCCCAAGGGTGTTAATGAAAATTGTGAGTTTTGAGTTGTTTTTTTTTTCTTTTTAATGAATTGATAGAAACTAAATTATTGAGCTTTTCGAAAATTTACGTTTTTAATTAATGAGTTTTTAGTGATTTTATTTATTTATTTTTGGTGAAAATAAGTGAGTGGATTAGTAAAAATTGAAAAAAAAATGTAAAATGTACAACAAAGTCTAGGATCTATTATTTCAGAAGGATGAAATTTGAAATTTAGGGAGATAATTGTTATAACTTGTTAAACTTTAAGGTAAAAATTGATTGTTTCCTAAAAAAAATTATCTGCAGCAATCCCTTTACAATATATTTTGTGTACATGTGAGGTGGGGATCRAATTCATAACCTGGTTGGAGATATATTCCAATTAGTGCGTTCTATGTTTTAGTCAGTAAATTTTGAATAAAAGTTTATTTCACTTAACCTTTTTTTTTCTTGTTAAATTAAAAAAAATATGTAATTTTTAAAATTAAATAACAAAATTTGTTGTGTTACATTTGGTTTAGAATTTTTATAACATATTTTATAGTTAAAAATAATAAAATAATATTTTTATTTATGAAAAAGTAAAAAACATAAATAATCATAAACATTTATATTTTTAAAAATTGGAAACATGAAACTGAAACTTTACCGAAAAATCTTTTAAATTTCTTAAATATATGCATCAAAAGTTCCAAGAAGAAAAAAAGTTGTGGGTCTATGCTAGGAAAATAAGTGAGATTGGAAAATGAGTGAGAGTAATTAACTTTGTCGTGACATACCTAAAAAGTCAATGAAAATTTCCAAATAATTTTTTGAGAAAAAATTCCAAGACAATCAAAGATGATGTTTCGTGGATAATAGACAACAATTAAGATTTATGCAACTTCTTCATTGTAAAAAGTATGATTGGTTTGATAATATTATTTTATAATAATTATAAATCGTTGTATTCAGKGACAGATCCACGTCGAAGGTAGGAAGGCAYGTATCTTTGARTTTTAATTAAATTACATATAATATAAATATAAAAGAAGCCTTCTATTAAGTCATGACTCTACCTGTMTAAATTCTATCTACAACACTCATTCAAGTATAAGGTACAAATTAATACATATGATCAAATTTAAGTTTAATATTGATATTTTTTTATTTACATTTGTACCCCTTATATTAAAAAAAATACTTAAATCTTTATTCATATTCATATTTGTTTAAGTTGAACAAGTTCATACTTTTGATATTTTTTSATTATGTTTATTTGTATTTATGCCACTAACATTTTAAAAAAATTGAATCTTTATCTATATTCATATTTATTTAAAATGGTTGGCAGCAATTAAGTGACTTGCATGCACAGAGGAAAAAAATGTATAGAACATAATGTGTATTATTTTATATACCTAAATATTAACAATATTTATGACGTTTGAGAGCATAAACCCTAATATTAAGATTTTTAAATCTAGATATTGGAAATAATATAAGGAAATTCAACTTTGTTAATATTTTAAATTGACTAAAATGGTGGCTAACTACTACATACAAAAATGGAATATTTTCGAACATTCGTTAATGACTAGACGAGATYTTTAACTTCGTAATCAATCAACAAATATTTCAATTTTTAAATTCATTTTCTTGATAATTCAACACCTTCCCTACACAATAAATAACTTATCAAGCAATTGTGTGACATTAAAATACAATTARTTTAGGGTTATTCTTGTTTATAATAATATTACCTATGGAATCAACCATCTCTTCTTATTCCAAATGAGTTCCTTTCATCAATAAATTAACAAAAACTATAGTCCAATTTATTCAATATATTTTATTTTTGAGTAGCCACTACATTGTTTGGCATTACTTGTGTAAATTATATCAACATCATTAATTATATATATATATATGTGTTATATTCAAGCATGAAAACTCAATTTGAAATTAAAAGCAGCCTCCATTATGAGAATTTTATGGGTAAAAAAATAAATTTAGTGATGTTTGAATGATAGTGATACATATATATGCATGATTTTCCAATTTTGTGAAGTAAATTATTATGTTTTTCTAATCAATTGGGATTTGAACCCGACCATATATCATCAATAAGTTTAATTATCATTATTAATTGAGTTAATAAATTTCCACTGAAGTGATGTTTATTTGTTTATTAAATAGGTTTAGTTACAACTATTAATTAAATTAATAGAATATAATTAAAGTGAGGTATTTATTTATTTATTAAATTTTCTTTTTAGAGTACATAGAAAACAATCAATGCCTTACAAACTTTTTGTGAGAGAGATTGAATGATACTCACGTCAGCATTTATTTAGTAAATTAAAAAAAATAATAAGACATGCTAACATCAAATAAGAGATGACAAATTTAAACATTTTATCTCTACGACCCTATGCATAAAGGTTTTTTTTTTGTGTTGCCTTTTCCCCTTTTATTACAAGAACTTATTTTATTTTACATTATTAGTTACGTATTCTTTAAAGTTACTAATTTCAGTTTCCTTGATTTTCTTACCTAAGAAAATAAGGGAAATTAAAATTACTACTTTTAAAGGATATGAAACTAATAATGCAAACTAAAATAAGTTATTGTAATGAAGGGGAAAAAGCAAAAAAAAAATAATAATAATAATAAATAATAATAATAATAATAATAACCTTTATGCGTAGGGTCTAAAAATAAAAAGTTTAAATTTGCCCATGTTAACATCAAATAAATGATCCATATTAACCATATCATGAGTGGTTCATTCTAAAGAGGTTAGGGTTAATCAAGGAGAGGATGAGTTCAAACTCCATGATGGCCACCTATCTTAAGAATGCGTAGTTTCTATGTGTTTCTCCATCAAATATTGTAGGGTCAAACGATTGTCCGTGAGATTAGTCAATGTGCATGTAAGTTGGCTCAGACATTCATAGATATAAAAAAAAAAAAAAACTAACCCATGTTAGAGCACAATGTGAAACTAATATCTATACTAATCATATTAACCCTACCATTAATTTAAAAAAAAAAAACATTAAGACAAAAGAAAAAACAAAATTCGAAAATTGGAAAATTTATATTGCCTTCTTTTCTTAGGTAAGGTGGTATGTCAAATATAAATATTTATGTGATGTCAAATTCTCAATCATAATAAATGACCCACGTTAGGGTACAATGTCAAATTAATATCTAGCGAAGCAAATCATCCCTACCATTACCTTTTTTTTTTTTTTAAGGCTAAGACAAAAGAAAAATGTGGGGTTGTTAAGTGTAAATGAAAAGGGACTATATTTTGGAGTGGAGGGCCATGAAGGAAAAAGGCATTCTTTTGACTAGAAGCAATTAGAGAGATACATTTGACATTTCAAACTGACCTTTGAATGATATATATGGATATGTCATTAATTATTAGATATTAGAGCAATCTTTTTCCCAAAAAAAGGAAAAAATATCAAAGCATAAACCAATTGGGGCATGTGAATGAGGGACCTTTGATTGATCACTAAGCTAAAGGAAATTTCCATCCTCATCATGGGTGGGTCCTATTAGTTATTGTTCTCGTTACATGAATCTACGTATAGATTTGATTTGATTTGATTTGAAATAAAAGAACTTTTTATGTCAGAAAAGTTATTATTTTTCGGAAGAGACTAAAAAATCTTCCATCTTTTTTTTTTTCTCCATAAACTTGTAACACAAGGACTTCTAAATTTGTAACTATGTCTTTTTCTATATATATACTCTAGAAACATCATATAAATAATAATTATAAATTTATTAGTTGTTTTGTCTAATTCTAAAAAGGTACACATTAAATAAAAGAAATATTTAACCCATATATGCATGACTGAACTTTATATTTTCCCATTTTTTATTTTTAATATTAAAATTCAATTTTCATTAAGTGATTAGCTATATCATTTTTTATACAACATATTAGCGATATCACCTCCATTTTGGTGTATATATTTATACATATGGACCATTTTTTATTTTATTTTTTTTAAAAAATAATTTTGTTCATTTTAGTCCATGTACTCTTAAAATGTTCATTTAAATTCACGTACTTTTAAAAAGTGATCATCTTAATCTATTCATTTTAATTCTTATCTCATGTATTTCCATTGTTATTTTAGCATTTATATTTTTACTCACTAAATTTCTTGAAATGTGATAAAAAATTCGTATTACCTTTATATTGGTGTAGAAAAATTTTGTAAATAATAACTAAATTGATCACTTTTTAAAAATATAAAAACCAAAATAAACGTTTTAAAAGTACAAATACTGAAATAAATAAAATTTAAAACTACACAAACCAATATAAAGAAATTAAAGGTACGAGGACTACGATGAATCAAAATAAAAAGTATAATACACTCAAATAGTATTTAAACCTATAATTTATTTGTAACTTTCTAAGAGGGAAAAATGAAAATATAACAAAATGGAAAAGAGAAAAAACGTAACGGGAAGGAAAAGAACAAAAAGAAAGAAGTTTCATGTTATTTCCTTCATGTGGAGAAATTAAAAAAAAAAAAAGTTGTTTGGTTTTGAAGGTGCCGTTTTGTTCCCTCTTCCTTTTTGTTACCATTATACCAATTCCATGATGTTTCCTTTGGTAGTGGATGAACCCTAACCCTAACTAAAAGCAATCAAATGAAAAATGGGGCCCACACTCTTGTCCTACGTGGCCTAGCCTAGCCTACTCTTGACTTGACTTGGGTCTTGGCTTCAGTTCCTTCCTATGCTTGTGCCTCACTCCCATTCATTTCTCTTTTTCCACATTTAATAAAAAACATAAAAAAAACCTTTTTTCTAGCGATTTTAGTTCTTTTTTTGTTTTTCTTTACATATTTAAGTTTATAAAAGTTATTCGTGCGTTTTTTAAAGGCTAATTAAATTAATATATATATATATATATATATATATTTTGAAATCTAACTTTGCTTGGATAGTCAGATGGAAGTAAACTTCATAAAGATAAATATTAAATAAAATAAAAAACTACTAATTCGGCTATTGTGTTTTATTACAAGTAAATTTTAAAAAATATATTGAAAAAGAAAAAAGTAAATAAGTATGACATTTTAAAACATAGAATAAAAAAAAAACATCAGGGGCTCTAAGTCAGAAAGTCTTTTGTTCCTTAAAAAAAAAAGAAGAAGAAAGAAAAGAAAAAAGAAGCTAATTTTAAAAACCATTTATCTTTTTAGGTTATTTTGTTTTTAGTTTTATAATTTTAGAAATTTAGCTTATAAATATTATGCACGCTATATTTTCAAAATCGAAGTT